CTTTGATAGGTAGCTCCAGCATTCTTCAGACCAAATGGCATCACAACCCATTCAAAAGTTCCAACAGCACCTAGGCATCGAAAGGCTGTCTTTGGAATGTTTGCGTCTGCAATAAAAATTTGGTTGTACCCACTATGGCCATCCATGAAAGATAAAATTTTCTGGCGGGCTACTCCATCAACCAGCAAGTCTGCAATTGGCATAGGATACTCATCCTTTGGTGTAGCTAAATTCAAGTTTCGAAATTCAACACAGACTCTTAGTTTTCCATTCTTTTTCAGCACAGGCACTACATTTGACAACCATTCTGCATACCTGAATGTCCTAATGAATCCAGCTTTTACCATCTGCTCAATTTCTTCTTTCACCTTCAAAGTGACCTTTGCAGACATGCGTCTGGGCGGCTGTTTATACGGTCTGAATCCTTTTACAATTGGTAGTTTATGTTCCACCAAATTCTGATCCAGACCTGGCATTTCTAAGTAATCCCAAGCAAAACAGTCTTTAAATTCATGCACAAGTCTGACAATTTCATCTCGTGTCTGTGGCTCAAGAGAGCCGCTGTTAAATGTTACCTTTGGTTCACTTTCAGACCCTAGATTGATCTCCTCCAGTGGGTCTTGAACTTCAGCTTTTAAATCATCCAACTTGGCTGGGGCAAGATCCAGCTCCTTCAAAGTTATTTCATCATCTTGGTCTGCTTCCTCACCTTCATAAACAATTTCAGACCTATTTACTTGAACTACTTTTTTAGCAAAATAGGCCGCTAATTTCTTTTTTATCTCCAACACGGCCTTTTCTCTTTCTTGTCTCAGATGAGCTTGCTTGATTAGATTTCTTCAATTTTTAGTTTCCCCTTCGGCCTATAAGGAATTATTGTTGTTGACCAAAGAAGTTCATCACAGACTTCCTCTACAACACGCTTAGATAATGACGGTCTGCTGCATGCTGTTATCCCAATCGGTTTCCCATGTCTATCCATCCCAAAAAACCGAATGGTACCAATGTCTTCTTCATAATATCTAACCTCCACCAGGTGAGTGTTGGCTGAAAAAGGCTTATCATCTGCAGACACCACCTCAACTTTGCCATCATTCCAGAAAATTAGTTTCTAGTGAAGTGAAGAAGGGACACACCAACTTGAATGAATCCAGTCACGCCCCAAAAGTGCATTATAAGTAGCAACAGTATCCACCACAAAAAACGCAGACATCAGTGTCCTATTTCCCACTGTTAATTCAACAGGCAACACACCCCTTGAACGATTCACCCCTTCTATAAAATCACTAATTGTAACCTCAGTATGCACTAAATTATCAAGAGACTTACCTATTTTGTAGAGCATGCAAGTTGGAAGGACATTGACTGCAGCTCCATTATCCACCAAGACACGGTTGATTGGAGTCCCGTCCATGTGAGCATTGATATAAAGTGGCCTAATGTGTCTAGCCATCTTTTCTTCTGGTTTTTCAAACACTATTTTGTTAGCCATGTCCTCCTCTTCATCATCCTAAGCTGGAACAACGATTACCTTTTCTTCTGCATGTTCTGGGAACTCACAGATGATTGGTTCCTCTTCCTTCTTGGCTTGGAAAACCAGGGGTAATGTCAGCACCAGACATGACAAATTCATTAAGAATTCCCCAAAATGAATAGTGTCATCTTCTTTTGCTTCAGATCCTCGATTCCCAGACTGTTCTTATGCTTCAAAAGTTGCTTTCAAAACTCCGTCTGGACTCACAATGACAGATGCCACCTTTGGAGAGGTTAGAGATTGGTCATCCCCCTTCGGTAGAGTCTAGGTTATAGTCTCATTTTTCTCTTTTCTCACCCACACCATGTTCCTTTATGTAGGTTGGCGTGGTTTGCGAGATGAACTTCCCTCAGCCTCCACTAGCTTCTGTTGTCTTTTTCGCTCTTCAGCCCTCTTGCGTTGCAGTCTATGCCTCAAGGTTCTGGGATTCTGGGCTGGAAACTTAGGATGACTGACTTTCTCCCACCGTCTGGAAGGTGACTTAAGTGGCAGTTTGACCATCCTTGGAGATCTAGTACCAGTTGAGTAACGTCTAGCACCTTCTGGACTGAAGTTCCTGGTCATAGTGATCCTTCCTTGCCCCCCAAACCTCTGTTGGTCTGACCTGACAGTCTTACTATGTCTGGATCTCCGTGCCTCAAGCACCCACCTCAAGTCTTCGGCAGCAAGGTTCCTTTGAGCATAAGGCAGACTGCGATTTCTGGTAACAATCCTGAGGTCTGCAACATTCACGCCGACAGACATAGCTGGAAAAGGGTCTGCATCCACTCCCATGGTTTCCTTCGCTTTGTCTGGAAATTTCAAGATACCTTTATCAATCTTTTCTTGTAAGACATTATGAAAAATAAGACAATTATCAGTAGAATGCTTCCAAGAATTATGAAATTTGCAATAATCTCTAGCTCCGATTTCAGCCGCTGTCGAGATTTTATGTCCCGGCAGTAGCTTAATCAGACCACTCTTTTTAAGGTGGTCGAATATATCACTAGCTTTTGACACATCAAAAGTATACTGTTTTCCAGCCTCACCAACATAACGTCTCACAGACGTCTCAAGCTGGTGAGTTGGTCTGACAAGGTCTGGACAAACAACATGCTTGTCTGTAACCACTTCAGCCACATCAAGATCAAAATTAGGGTCACTGTAATAGGTTCTATGTGATGCAGCTTTCTTTTGAACATCTTCTTTCAGCAGATTTTCATACTGAGCCACTTTATAAGACAATTCATAGAAGTCTCGAAATTTCATTCCCTCAAATTTCTTTCGGAGCTCAATTTCCAGACCATTCTGAGCCAGCTTGACAAATTCTTGTTCTGGTAGTGCAACTCTACATTTCAGTCTGGCTCTCCGGAACCTAGCAAGGAATGCCTGAGACGACTCTCCAGGCTTTTGGGCTAACCTTGACAAGTCTGCCATAGACACTTCCGGTTCACAACGATAGAATTGAGTGTGAAACAAGTCCTCCATTTGCCTCCAAGAGTAGATTGAATTTTGAGGCAGACTGAGGTACCATGTAAGGGCTGTCCTAGTCAAAGAGCTAGGAAACAGTCTGAGTTTCAAATTATCATCTCCAGACGCCTCTCCACACTGTATTGTGAAGCGTCCTATATGTTCAATAGTGGACTGACCAACCTCACCAGAAAATAAAGTGAATTCAGGCAATTTAAAACCCCTTGGAAAAGGATTTTCATCATCAATGACGTTTGGATAAGGCTTCCTGTAGGTTGGACGTACCAATGGCCTCAAGGCTGGTCCATAGGTTTCTTGTACCAGATCTATTAGCTGATCTCTATTGAATAATTGAGTTGGTTGATTCTGCAGACCGTGCTGTACCAGTTGGGCTGGAGGAACTTGTGGCTGAAAAAAGTCCCTTGGGTAGGATTGATGATGAGGACCCACATTTCCCTTCATACCTGGCGGAATATACCTATGCTGAGGTTGATGGCCATGGTCTGCAACTGGAGCAGCAGCCTCCATTGGTTCATGCTGTCTTTGTCCTTCACCCATGAAGAAATTCTGCTGTTGAATGTTAGGATGAGGCTGATTCCCTTGCCCCTCGAGTGCTGGGATTGGGGCTTCCTGAATCTGTCTGGGCATTTCAACGACTGGAGGAGGAATCTCAGGTCTGGGCTGTCGCACTTGCTCAACCACTTGTTTTG